ACTACAAACTTCTCTGAGATGTGCTTACGGTACCCCTTGGCACCCGGAGTTGATGGTTTGCCCCTGGTGAAACCCCTAAAGCAATAGGCAGCTTTTTATTGGAAGAGGGGCAATTTTTTATCCACAAACTTGTTCTCTGACAAGTCAGCCTGCCCCACAGCAAACAGATGTTCGCATGGAAATATCCCCTCTAGATGAATAGAGTCTTCCTGAGGCCAATGCTGTCTGGGAAAGTTCTTTTGTGTACCTAGGAAGCTTCCCTGAGCCCTGAGAAGCTACCTTTGATGTATATTTTGTGATTAGGAAAGAAAAGAAAAATCAAATACAATTTTGTTCAGCCAAACTGGGTCTCATAGATGAGAGTTTTTGTTGACTGAAGGCTTTCTCAGATGTGAACTTTGCCCTTTGCTATTAAACAAAGGGTCACACTGAGATTCCTTTTATTTCTCCTGAATTTTATTATCTTTGATATGTTAGGACATGATATTTCATCAGCAAAATGAATGAGATAACTGTCTTTCAAATCTCAATTCTCCTTTGTTTCCCAAGAAACAAGTATCATTCAAGCATAAAATCATCAGATCAGAGTCACCTTTCAAAAGGTAGAGGTCTACAGGCCTGAAGAACACAAAGTGTGCAAGCTGTGTTAGTGGACGTTAGTTTCACTTCCTTGTAGCAAACTTTTTAGATAATAACACATCCTTAGGCAAAATTGTTGCCTTGTATTTTAATGACAGGTCTCTTCCTTCTCTTTCTATTTATGTTCTGTTTGATAAGCATATTTTTAAATAGCCCGGACTGGCCTTGAACTCATGATCTTTCTTCCTAACTGTCTCAAATACTGAGATAACAGTCATATACCTCCATGCTTGTGCTAATAAAATGTTTCCTGGGGCAGGTGGATTAAATTACAATAACTTAGTTTCTGTACTCGATAATTAAACCTAATTTAGACAAAAGAAAGAATAAGATAGAATAAGCAGGCCACCTTTTATAGCCAATCAGCTCCCAATTAGGATTATGTCCAGTACATCAGAATTCCTTTGTTAGAAGAGGAAAACACATTAGTAGCATCACAATTAGTAGTAGGAAAATACAATTTCATCTCTGAAGACAAATATTGTGTGGTCTTTGGTGAAGACAGGGGAAGAGTAGGATTATCCAGTACTGTCTGTCTGTCTGTCTTTATTATCTATCATTCTATCTATCCATCTATCTACCTATCTAATATCCTTCGTAAATCTACACCACAACCTTGATTACTAAACTATTTATTGCAGAAGGCACTATTCTGTGTTCAGTAAATTAAGTTTTAATTCCAGAGTAAAAAAAAAAAAATTGACCTAAAAAACCAAGATAAATGAATAGACTGTTCAGGGCTCATGATTGGAATGCATTTTCCAGTCTTTTTATATTAGTATTTTTCAATCCAATGATGTTTCCATTCTTTTCTCTCTTTTTTCACAATCTATTACAATCTATAACACCTGTCACCCTCCTCCTGGGTTAGAATACCCAGGCTGTCTTCATTCTTGGTACTAAGTTAAAAGTTTTACTTAGGATATTTTTGTACTTGGATATTAAATATTAATAAGTTTATTGTTCCATTTTAGGATCAACTATGTAGCTATTTATGAAAAGGTTTTTGTCAGGCATTGATTTCATAAAGTCGTAAGTCAAGCTGACATGCAGTATACATAATTATCTTCTTCAATACTCACTTTACAATATCTTGAAGGTTAAAAAGTTTATACCTTTCAATTTCTATTTTCTTAGCTAAGATTTTTAATTATAGAAATTTATGGGTACTATGATAATTTGATACGTATTTATAGGATATCATCATTAAATCAGAGTGGTTTCTATTTCCTTATCCTTAAACCCATCTTAATTTTTTGATTAACACACTATTGTATATACATGTGAGTATGATATTTCAATACATATATCTAATATGCCCTGGACAATTCAGGAATATTAACACTTCTATCTTCTTTCCAGTTACAGGGGTTTAATAATATGTAAAGTAGTTTTACTTTTAGGGAATGAATAAAAATATATGTTCTGGTTTCAAAAAAAATACAGACTTTGTTCACCATGGAGACTAAATAAGCTCTTTTTTGGAAAATAACCACATTTTAATAAATAACATGAATTTCAAAGATGATTGATAAGGGGATAAGAGAAAGTTTGATGTTTTGAGTTTTTCTTTTTTTCTGCTTTTTGGGGGGGTATTTTTTAATTTAAATTAGAAACAATATTGTTTTACATCTCAATCTCTGTTCCCTTTCTGTCCCCTCCTCCCCTGCCCCCCACTGACACCCTACCTATCCAATATCATTTCTGTTCCCCAGTGAGAGTGAGGCCTTCTGTGGGGGAGTCTGTCATATGCTTTGGGATAGGGCCTAGGCCCTCCCCATGTGTCTAGGCTGAGGCAGTATCCCTCTATGTGAAATGGGATGTTGGTATATCTGTGACAACAGACTATTATATTTAAGAAAACTAATGTAAAGAAAAACTATGGGGAAACATGTTACAAATTGGGGTAAAATATTTAATTCATTATTAAAATGTTTAAATTGAAAAATATCGTATTGTAATTAGGCTTAGCTAGTGTCTGTAGGGCAAGAACTAGTTAGTTTCCTAATTGTGCATATTTTGTACATAGTAAATTTTTATTAAAGTGAAAATATCGGTACAAGAAAAGAAAAGTATTCTTTCTTCAAGAAAAGTCAACTCAACAGAGTCCTCTTTAAACTCTATTGTTTGAAAACAGCACAAAATAGGTACAATCAGTAGGGATGCAAATTAATTATCTAGAGGATGTTTAATTCCTTATGAATTTGAAAGGAAGTTATAGACTCAAATGCTCACTCAGCCAGTTTCTGAAAAATAAAAACAGAGTAGTTCCTAGAGGCACTGAAGAAGACTCGCCAACCTTCCCTTCTAAGTTTGGGGACAATCGTCCAGTGCTCACAAAGGAGAGTTGTTCTATAGTTTCTACTTGGAACCTTTAAAATGTGTGGGCTTCGTTTGACCCTGTACTTAGAAGGGAGGGCATAGCTCCAAGTACAGAAAGAACTGATAAACTCAAAGAATCTTCTCTTCTTAGCCTTACTCACCCAACTTTAACCATGAAAATGAAATGAAAGCTGTGACATTTTTCCACAGGCCTCATTTGTGGAATGACTTCTATGCTGCACCAGTGAGGCTGACTGCTTCCTCGGCCTGTTTTTTTTTTTTTTTTTTAATTTAAATTAGAAACAAGCCTCTTCTACATGTCAATCCCAGTTCCCTCTCCATCCCCTCCTCCCCTGCCCCCACCCCCATCTACACCTCCATCCCATCCCCTTTCTGCTTTCCATGGAGGGTGAGGCCTTCCATGGGTGATCTTCAGAGTCTGTCATATCATTTGGAGCATGACCTAGCCCCTCCTCTGTGTGTGTAGGCTGAGAGAGTTTCCCTCTATGTGGAGTGAGCTCCCCAAGTCCATTCTTCTACTAGGGATAAATACTGATCCACTATCAGAGGCCCCACAGATTAAGCTGACCTTCAAACTAACATCCTCCTTCAGGGAGTCTGGGACAGTCCTATGCTGGCTTCCCAGACATCAGTCTGGGGTCCATCAGCTCCTCCTTGCTCAGGTCAGCTGTTTCTGTGGGTTTCACCAGCCTGGTCTTGACCCCTTTGCTCATCACTCCTCCCTCTCTGCAACTGGATTCCAGAGTTCAGCTCATTGCTTAGTTGTGTGTGTCTGCTTCTGCTTCCATCAGCTACTGGATAAAGTCTCTAGGATGGTGTACGAGGTAGTCATCAATCTCATTGACGGAGAAGGGCATTTAAGGTATCCTCTCCACTATTGCTTAGTTGGGGTCATCCTTGTAGATCTCTGGAAATCTCACTAGTGCCAGATCTCTCCTCGAACCTGTAATGGCTCCCTCTATTACGGTGTCTCTTTTCTCGCTCTCCTCTATTCTTCCCCTGACTGAAACTTTCTGCTCTTTCCCACTGCCTTTTTGAATACATTTAGAACACCCATATGTGGGAAGGAAGAATTCCTTTGCTGATATACATTTTTCCACTGAAAAACTCCATATCAGAAAGGCTAGTTGTCAGTGTTTTCCTTGAATTTTAGAAAATGATAGCTTACATTTATAATGATAATTCAGGCTATAAAATGGTTTTCTTGTTCACTATATCCATCTTAGTTATGTCGTTTATAGCTGCATCATTAATTGATATAATTGCTTGATAAGACTCTGGATTGTTAGTCAATTTGTTGAAAGGAATCTGAGAGAGTCAAAAATATCACATGAAGCACTGGGGAGGCAGAGGCAGGTGGATCTCTGTGAGTTCCAGGGTAGCCTGATCTACAGAGTGAGTGCCCGGAAACCGTTTTTTTAACAAATAAATAAATAAAAATACATTAATTTTTGCACACCTTTTCCAAATACAAGCAGTTGAAGTGAATTCCACCCTACTGCTGGGACCAGTTTGTATGTAAGCAGGGAAATGTGTTTATCGGTGTGCATTTTTATTACGTTAATGAGGAACCTTTGCCCATTGTGTTTGCAGCCTGTTTTGATGAGCTTCTATCAAGTCATGAGATCCTCTGAAATTTAATAATACTTGGAAGAATAACTGAGCCATTTTGAGAAGGGCATTAATTGTTAGTCTAATATTAGCCGTTGTGTTTTAAACTAGAAATCATGGGGTCTTCTGATTTCTTTGTGTACTAGAAAATAAGTTGTAAATTGAATCTCATTGCTACTCAATAGTCCATTAATAACGTAATCATGGGATTGTTTTTCCTGTATAGCTTCACCTCGCATGTGCTAAGAATATATATAGCTCAGTCGTAGAAAACTTCCCTAGAGTGTGTGAGGGCAGGTTCTAGTCTCAACATCACCGAATAAAGAGAACAGTAAGTTAAAGTGAAGCATGACCTTGGGCTTTCTGCAGACAATTCATTTATGTCTGTTTTCTTATTTGCTTTCTAGAATTTTTCCGCGAGCTGCTGGAGAATGCGGAGAAGTCCCTCAATGACATGTTTGTCCGGACCTATGGGATGCTGTACATGCAGAATTCGGAGGTGTTTCAGGACCTCTTCACTGAGCTGAAACGGTACTACACAGGGGGGAACGTCAACCTGGAGGAGATGCTCAATGACTTCTGGGCGCGGCTCCTGGAGCGGATGTTCCAGCTGATAAACCCCCAGTATCACTTCAGCGAGGACTACCTGGAGTGTGTGAGCAAGTACACCGACCAGCTGAAGCCTTTCGGGGATGTGCCACGGAAACTGAAGATTCAGGTCACGCGCGCCTTCATTGCTGCTCGCACCTTCGTCCAGGGCCTGACAGTGGGCAGAGAAGTTGCCAACCGTGTTTCCAAGGTAACTGAGGGGCGTAATGTCTCTATAGTTGGTCTTCATATTTTCTTAAAAAAAAAAAAAAAAAACGGGGGGGTGACCTATAAAACAAATTAAGGCAGCAATTCTCATTCCAGGTGGTCTCTGCTCTTAAAGGGCTTATGTGCATGTCGAAGCTTAAATCTGATTTTTTTTTCCTGTGTGCAAGAGAAAAAAAATTCAAGCAATTCCATATGGTTTGGCAATGAATTCAAATATCTAAAAGCAATGTAGCAGAGTTTTCTTGAGGAATACAAACAAGGACAAGGTGGCTTGCAGCTAGCATCACTACGTCAGAGTCTGGGGGATGATAAACACTCAGGGACCGGTCCGCTCAGGTTCTAGAAGTCCCGTGAACGAAAACAGTCTCCAAAAGTGCTGCAAGTGCAGGACAGGGGCTCGTGGCATCTCTTCCTTGTCAGAGTGGTGTAACTCCGAATGGTGGGGCCCTTGCCTGGCACCGCAGCCAGCAGAAGCATTTGGGGTGGAGGCGGCCGTACCAGGGATACAAAGTGTCGGTTCCGGAGAGCAGTCCCCTGGGTTGTCCTTTATCTTTGTAATTCCACGTTGTGTGCTGTGTTGGACTTATGAAAAAGATAAATCTCTAATCCACTTTGGGGCCTTGAGGATAATGTCCGTAAACCTTTAATGCAAGCGATCACTCTGGGCCACTGGCTTTCAACAGCGAACATTTCCGGCGCGGCGCGTGTCTGCTTCTGCTTAAGCTCTGCCTTGACATTTAACTGCTCTTATGAGGTGGGCCTGCCCATTTATGAGGTCAGCCCTACAAGTAGCCTAAAAGGTGATTTATATAAGAAGTTAAGAGAAAACAATATATAAAAAGAGCCTGGTATTATCTTTCTTAAAGAAGGTCATATTTGTACAGAGATTATTGTCAAACAGTGTTTTTTATTGCGGGTCGGTGCCCAAGAGTCCCAGAGTTGTTTTTATCTTTTTCTTTTTCTTTATTCCCATATTGATACTACCCTGTAATAGTCTTTTTTTTTTGTTCTTCCTTTTATCTCATGGTTTACACCTTGGCTTAAAGACAGTATAGTCTACACTCTTAAAGACACCTCTCATTGGCATGACATAAAATTCCTAACAATTCATTTTAATAAATTATCAGTTTCTAAAAAGTTTTGGTATATGGAGGCATTTGACCCCCGTATGGAAGGCCTCGTCCTCCCTGAGGAGCAGAAAAGGTATGTGATAGGTAGGGTTTTAGTTGGTGGGGGAGTGGTAGGGGAGGGAGAGGGAACTGGGATTGACATGTAAAACAATCTTGTTTCTAGTTCAAATAAAAAAATTAGAAAAGAAAAAATTAAGAAGGCTTCTAAAGCAGTAGTTATAAGGAATGCAATGATTTAAAGGTCATAACAAAGCTGGTAAATGCAATATTTTTCATTGGATATCAACAATATTTGACCTATCAAAGGAACATGTTCCTCAGACATGGTTTAATAAGGACACAGTTAAGCGGAATAACAAAACATGTATGATTCCACATAGATGGTCTGTAAAATACAAACAAGTGAAAGAAGAAAACTTATGTCCAAAATCCATAACCAAGATATATCTTGCTGCAAGAAATAAATTGAACGAAATTGTAGTTCAATAAGTTAAATTACGATGTTGTCACAGAGGCTTTAAGAGGGAACCCTCACCCCTGTTGAAGGATGAAATGTCCGTTTATGAAGAATGAGTTGAAAAGCACGGATAAGAATGTGCACAGTTTCTGGTTGTTTCTGCTGATTGCTCCTGAATGTGTGTAACAGATGGACTTATGTAGCATGATCTTGAAAGATTCCAAATAGATAAGAAGGTATAGTTTTTCCTATAAAAAAAAATCTAAGAAGCCAAAGTGAAATGTAGTCTAGTGCCTGCTTTTGCTTTCCCTCCAAGGACCGCGCCAATATCTGCCCGGGATTCTGCCCTTGTCTTTCACAGGGTGTTGCCCTCTTAGGTATCAGTTTGTAGAGATTCTAACGTGCACCAGGGTATGATGGACGACATTAGGAACCAACCATGAGTAGAATGTCACCTTGAGACTTTTCAAGAATTCATGAGGGTTGTATTATACAAAAACAAATTCTTTCTCTAAGCAGCATCTACAGAGGTTTGGACTGTAGTTTGTGGGTCATGTAACCGAAAACTTAACTATCCTATGTTGGCTTAGCTGAACTGGGATCCACTGGGTCTAAACACCTGAAACATAAAACCTGTATTGGCATGTGATCTCTGGGTTTTGGAGTTGAAAAGATAAGACAGTGTATAGGTATGTCGATGAGAAGATGGATGGCGGTTGAGTAAATAAATAATAGATGAAGCTTCATGTTCAAAGGAGCTGTGTAATTACTTTTATCAAATAATTCATAACTCACAGATTTTCACTTTTTCCATAATTTGCAGAATATGTGTAGTAATTAGAAAAGCATCCGTTAGTTCTATGATGGCTTTCCAACTATTTTGTATATGAAGACGAAAGTATTATAAAGGTTCAATATACTGAGAGGAGAAGAGAGAATTAGGGTTGGTGTTCAAGCCCACCCCATTCAGGGGAGATTTAGAGTTGGGAGGATGGTGACGAAAGTTCAGAAAATTCAAGGAAAGTTCAAAGGCAGGTGCCAGCCACTCTCACCATCGTGTTTGGGGACTTTGGTTCCCTTCAATTTCTCCTTTTATTTCAGTGACAATTTAAGTCTTTGAAAGCATCATTAATAGCTTCTAATTAATTGTTTTGACTGGAAAATGTGCTTCTTCGGCAAAACACAGCAGTATGAGACAAATGTTTTGACAGAACATAATAGGGAAATTCTGTTCTTAAAAGTGGAAGATTAATTTAATCTTAAAATAATTCAACAGAATTATTTTTTAAACTTAAGCTTGCTGTCTTATGGATACAAATGATGCGTTTTCTCTCCTTAAAAATGGGGAGATAATATTTTATGAGTACAGCCAAAGCTCTTCCATGAAACATTTAATGATTCTCTAGTGAATAGCTATGATGGGTGAGCTAGCATTTATTTTTTTGTATGAATTACCATTTTTGATTATGCCAAGGGTTGTGAGCCATGGAGTGTGAAGATCTTTCATACTTTTGTAGAGTGAGGGTAACACCCACACTTTAGCTACACAAATTGAAAACACCTGTCTAGTTGAAAACATCCACACCCTCCAACTGCAGTTCTTCCCTACAGTGAAGGTACTTGTGTCCAAGTAGACATGTGGGGGAATTTTCTAAGAAGCATTTGTGAACAAAAATGAAGCTAGAAACATCAAAATTTTCCCATCTAGACTGTATCAACGGTGATCTCTCCACACTATGCAGTCCTTTGGAGCAAAATGTGAACTATACCATACTCAACATTTGGATCTCACAAAGCTCATTTCAAAAAGAAAACACATAAATCACCAAAGTTGATTCATCATTTATACGAAGCTCAGACAATGTTTAAATAAGCAATACTACTTGGGAATGCACAAAAAAATAAACACATGTGTAAACTCAGGAACTTCGGGCTAAAAATGAAAATTGCCCAATGGTATAAATGATGTTGGGACATATATTCAAGCAAACATAGAGTGGAGCTTTTGACGTCATTGTTCATTATCTTTAAGCTGGATTGCTACCTACAGAGGGCATGTATCACATGTAAGACTTTTTTGTCAAAAAAATAATGTAAGGAAATTTTTTCCCAATTGTCCAACCATGACTCTTTTTACCTGTATAGATATGATAATGTTTATGTATTCCCATTCTTATTTACAAAGTAATGTGGGAAATTACCAATACAGAGCCAGGTAAAAATACAAGGGAATTTAATAGGGCAAAGCCTTACTGACAGAGCGACCTAGCCAGCAGGCGGGGCAGCAGTAAATACAGTAAGCCGAAGATGAAAGTGAAAGCAGGTCCACCACCTGAGCAGCCCTCACTCTTAAACCTTCCCTACGTCACCCTGACCACGCCCTCGCAGGTGTGGTCAGGCATACTTGTAGCCAGCCCCAAGCAGGCGTGGCTACAGCATCCCCTACAAGTAACCATTCTTTAGATGAGGCTGAATAATTTTTTATAGATATACCAGGCAAAGTTCTAAAAATGAATGTACAAACCAGCTTTGATAATGTAGTATTGAATGCATTAAGCAATGGATACAGTCTGTTTTTCATCATTTAACCTCTACTAAAGAGCCTTCTTAACCTCTTTTTGTGTACACCCATTGGTGAGCAGAAACACGGATGCTAGCAGCTACTCAAAAGGCTTTTTGGAAAGTACACATTAGGCAGGGTTTCCTAAAGAGATCTTAACTACATGTCTGCTCACATGAAGTTTCTAACAGTTATCACAGACACAAATGTGGGAACCATCCAGGTGTCTTGCCTGGTATGGAATGATGCCATTTACAGACAAAAGGGCATGGCTTTTTATCATTTCCTTAATAAAACTTACAGCCCAGCCAGGCATATAGGGCAGTTACTAAGGTGTGTGCAAATATAATGCCCTTAGTTCAAACCCCAGAACACACACATACACATACACACTTAGGGAGGGAGGTGACACAATCCTGTAGCCTGTAACCCAGTACTGAGACATGTATCAAGAGTCCTACTGGGTGAGCCTAACCTATTTATTGAGTGGCAGGCTAGTGAGAGGCTGTGTCTCAAACAACATATGAAAACAAAATTGTGGGTGGTGCCTGAGGAATAACACCCATCAAAGTCATCCAGCCATGCACACACATAAAGAGGTATAAGCACAGACAGTGTATTTCCATACCCCCACAAGGTATTTGTTAGGTAAAACCTGGTAATGGTACCAAGATCAATCACATCAACTTTGCAAATCATATCATTAATTTATTTCATAAAACTGAGTCAGTGATAGAACTGAGAACCATTGCACCCAAAGAATTAAAAAAAAAACAAAAACAAAAACCTGTCATCTATATGTCCAATCTTTCTTCCTTTACTTTGAAAGGCAAGTG